TATAGCTCATGTAGACAAATATTAATGATATATTTCCTCCCAAGTCATAGATTCCACCCCCTTCCTCTTGTCAAACTAAAAAGTTAATCGAATCATTTATCCAACTACAAACTAAGTAACAATAAAATAAGAATAAAAACCCATAATTTACTAGCTAATGTCCAAAACCACCTTAAAGAACAAATTCTCATAACTAACATTAAATTATGTCAAAAACTTAGAACTTGGTGGGCATACTTAGGCAAGTGCAATGAGCGATATATTGTGATATCCTTAAATTAATTTTTATCACTAGGAAATCATCATCAGATAAGCCTTCTTAACCCTATATATCTTAATGTGTCACATCTTCGGACAATTTACTTCATTAGGGTGTGTGTTCAACGACTTGAAGTAATTTTTTTTTTTTGGATATCCGTGAGCGTCTGAGTCAGCTTAGGCGCACMTCGACTAATCTCACGAGATAACCGCTTGACCCTATAACATTTGGTGTCGAAAAACACATGATTTGAAGTATTTTGACAGACCAATGCAAAAGTTTGATCAAATTTAATGCATAAATCTTTAAGCWTCAACACGATTTTCACAAGTCGAAGGAAACTCGAGAGAAGAGAACTTGGAGAAGGAAGGCGAACTAGTTCAGAGACCGAATAAATAACTGCCAGTGGGGAAGAAACTGAAAATTTCCTCCATAATCTTGGCTAGAGAAAATGTAGCATATTTAGAGAGTTCAGCACACATTAAGCTTGCCTCCAAACATATGAACAGAAGCAGGAGATTGAAAACAACCAACTTCATGTGTTTTAACACAGAGGATATAAGGTTACAAAGTACCACGGACTTTTTCGAGAATGAAGAGTGAGGTTTGCACTAAGGCAGGCAACGCCTGTGATGATCGCACCACATAGTCGATGATCTACTCCCGACTCTCCTGATAAAGAAGTTAACCTATCAATCTTGGCACTAGCATTTGCAAAACTACTATGATTATATGTGGCCTCGAACATGAGATACAATGTTGCTTCTTCTTAGAGGCCCGACGCACTAGATGACCACAACGACACAAAAACCAAATGTTGGTTTCCTGTCATTAAGGGCCTAGTGCCCAACTGGAATCAGCAGAACCCAAAGATATATTAGTTTGGATATAACAAACCACAATAAAGAGTACCTTCTAAGTCATGAAGAATCTGTTTAACGACTTTCAGATGAACAGATGAGAATGTATAATGACACACCACACCGATAACAGTAATCATATTCCGAATCCTCATCTCTTCCAAAAATTAGAGCTACACTTACCATAGGAGTGAAGTAGGATTAGCATCGAACATTTTTGTCTTCCACAAGAAGCTAAGGAATATATATTTCTACTATGGAAGAAACAAACAAAGATAACGATACTTGAATAACAAGAAAGTAGTTTAGAACATCCAAATCTTTGAAGGCAGACTGGCGGAGGTACCACTCAATGCAGCAAGAAATAAGGGATAAAATTTAAGATTGAGAACTTCCGTTTGTATTTTCCCATCATCCACACACGTAGCACACAAAAAATTACCCAAATCTGAGAGAATGACAGAGCCCCAAACCTAGAAAACCAAGTTATTGCAAGATATCAGCAAATTGCTCAAACCAAGCTCCTAGAGGTAGCTTTGGATCGTGAATGGATTGATTCCATTGACAAACTAAGAAATTTAAAACCTGCAAATTGTAGAATACCATGCAAAAAAGCATTGTTCATATCAAGATCTTTGGGTTGCTAAGACAGTAGGTGAAAATGCTGGAAGCTCTGATCTCGTCTTTAGAAGAAAATCTTAAAAGATATTGAGGTGGAACATTGGCTCAGCCTAATAAGCTCTGAGAATTTGAATGCAAGACAGGCATGGTTTTTTTTTTCCACATGAATCATCATACCGAGGTTTTAGGAACATTTTTTCTCCAAGGAATACTACAGGTCAATCTAAAAAATATAAACAAAAACTAATATGGGAGGCCGTTATACAAATGAGAAGATTCAATCTATCTTTTCGGACATAATGCTTCAACCAAATTGTTTCTGCTCGTGCAAAAGAAAATGAGGAAATTGCAAATTGTTCATTACTTCACTGCTCTTTCTCCTCTTAGTTGTAGGGGGAGCTGTCAGGACCTTTGGAGTTCAAGAGGCCCTTCTTAGTTCAGTTAACAATCGACTTCTCATCTTGGCTGGTGGTTTTTGGTTTAAAAATAATCCCAGGTGTTTTAGGTATCTTTTGACAAGTTTGGACAGGGACAAACGGGAAAAACTTAATCCATGAGTAAAAGTATTTGGTGGTTATTTGGGGTATGATAATATTGTTTCGGGGCTTCTCTTTTTTGAGCTCTTTGTCTATAACGTTTTCGAGCAATCCTAAAAGAACAATACTTGGGTGTTATCGGTTGACCCCAACTTTTGCCGACCACCATTAAATTTTCTTTTACAAGTAATAGAGGAATGCAGAAAAAGTGACTTTTTCTTCTATTGGTGGTTAGGAGGGAGATGAGTGCTCACCAGCACGCACCTAAGTATTTTTCATCCTAAGCAAGTTCTCAGTTGCAACCATTACCAAGCGCAAAAGTTGGAAGAATTTGAATGGGACTAAAACAATCCATGTTTGTTCAAATCAGTGCCATCATTTAGCTAGCAGCGTTACGGCATAGAGTACTTCAAATAACAATTCAGAGTTCAGAACATGATAATAACCCACTAAATTTTGCAATTTACAAAGTGTTCTGTAAATATTTTCAGAACACTCAAAACTTAAYTGTATGTGTTCTGTTTTTCAGAACTGTTAACAGTAAAAACACGTCACATTAAGGGGAAGAAAACTCTCAGGACTATTCCAAATCCAAACATAATTTTATACACCGAGGCCATGAAATTACAGTGAAACCCAATAAATCAAGCACAAGAGGAATATGCAAGAATACTGTTCTTCTTCTAGAGCAGTGTAATTAGAATGAAAATAAGAAGTGCTGCAATAAAAGAGTACTTGAGAGCTGCCACTAAAATAGCCAAAGAGATGAAGAATAGCTGCCACAAAACCTGAACGCTTGCCCAAGCAAGCAAACCAGTCAACGCAACCGCCAAGATGTTGTCAGGATCCGGATCAATCAGAAGTTCCGCCCATTTGATATTGAAAACTGGCCCTCGTTCTTTCTTCAAATCGTCTCCTCCGTTGGAGCCCTTCGCCCCAGTTCTTTCTCCTTCTCTCTCTTTGATGTTTCCTCCCAGACCATTATCGCCATTGCCAGAGAACGCCGTAAATCTTGCGCGGTTTCGAGGAATTTGAGATCGCGTCATGAGCAACGCGTAATGGAGAGTGAATTTGAAGCGTGGAACGGTGCGGAGAGATATTTTTGAGGAGGAAGAAGGTGTAGGAGTTGAAGAAAGAAGGCGGACAGATGCGGAGCTCCATTGGCATGGGAGAGTACGAAACCCTAACATAATTTTCTCGCTTCAGTTTTCTCCGGTGTGCCGTGGGCGGAACTTTTCCCGGAATTTGCAGCCGCTCGCGGCATCCATGTCTTTCGGCTGAGGGAGACGAGGCTGTGAAATATTGAAAACGGTGGGAACTAGAAACCATTATAAAATTCCGGGTTCGGGTCGGATCGGGTGTGGGTTTAATTTTAYATGTGTGTGTGTGTGTTTTTTAAATTGTGATAACTTTTTTAGGTGTTTTATTTTACCCAAAAAAATAACTAAATTCTAACACTGAAATTTTTATTTTATCAAATTAAATTATAAATACTAATTAGTAAAATTGATGCCTCTAGAAAAAGTGCATTGAAGAATTAAGGGGAATAAGTCAATAAATCACATTTAGTTTACCAATAAAATATTGAAAATAAAATTACGGAAATATATTAATCTATTAATCTAACTAAGACAGTTCTCATTAGAAAAACTAATAAAATAGTTAAATCTTATTACAAGATTATTGGAACAAATAAAAGACATATATTTTGTTTCTTAAAAAAATAATAAAATACATGTATCATCTCCGAAAGATTCTTCTCAACTCTCACACGCATGTTGTCAAATTAAAAAAGAAATATCATATTTAAATGTAGTTCAAAGAGAGAGCAGGAAGATTCCAACCTCATGTTTTTACCAATCAAATTATGTTTCTATGTCAACCTCTATGTTATTTGTTTTTTCTTTTGGTGGTACCTTTTTCCCTATAGTATATAAGCAGAGAAATTGTAGTGTCTTCTTGTAAACCTCTAATATTTTTCTTTTTTCTGTTATTAAAACGTGTTTTAAGCGGGTTCCTATTTATATGTGTACTTACTTTTTTTTTCCCTAAACCGGTCTGAGTAAATTTTCTTGCAAATATTCTCTATGTTGGTACAAAATAAATATTTTTTTAGTTCAACGATAGGTAAGGATGAAAATTCGTATCTCTAATCTTTTGGTCGAGAATATATATTAATTTTTTTTATAGATTGGAGATGTATATTAGTCGATCTTCCTAGTTACAAAACAATGATATTTATCCAAAATTTTAATTATTTTTATAATTATGAGCCTAAATGTCACAATCATTCCTACATACAACTCATTTAAAAAAAATAAATAAATCCTACATACAAAATTTTCCATTTATTTACTAATTTTTATTTTTATTATTATTATTTTTTTCCATTTCAAAGATGGGCCATTGACAAACTCTATAAAGTGAGAAGTTTGAATGGGCTTCGACTGGCCCACTCCAATGACAGTTCAAGAGGGACGCAAGAACAGATAAAGAGAATTGTTATACACCCCGACTTCAGAACTCTTGTTTTGAAAACAGAAGAATCTAATTCTTTATAATAAGACTAAAAAATATTTACAGTATATTAATATTTGAGCAAATTTTGCTAATATATAGGTGTGTGTATATATTTGAGGAAATTTTGTAAAAATACTATTTTTTTTCCCTTCTGGTGATAGAGTTTTTTTTTTTTTTTTTTAATTTTGAATCCAAATCATATTACATGATTTATGTAAAATTTTAAGCCAAATCGTATATTTAAGAATATATTTTTATTTTGCCATCTATGTAATTTCATCTTAATATTTTATAGAATTTACCGTGAATGAGCCAACTTTGACAATATCAAATTTCAAAACTTTATTATTTTGGTATTTTTATTTCTTGTCTTATATTATATTTTGATCCATAAATGTGATGGAAAATTAATATCGGACCACGGCATTTGATTTCTAAAATACATTTAAAAATTATGACCTCATACGTGGCTAATATTAAAGTCATATGTACTAAATGTGTGAATAAATAACTCAACACTAATTTTAACCATGAATACTAGAAGGTCTATCATTCTTTGGTCTGATTTTTAATTTAGTTCTTATACATTCAAAATTTTAAATTTAATTTTTATAATTCGGATTTAAATTCATTTTAGTACATATTGGTTTAGAAATTTCAATTTGGACCTTAACTTGGGGTCAAATCTCATAAATCCTCTTGTAGTCATGCTGAATAGTGATACTTCTTTTGGGTTAACAATAATAAACTTTTAATTTGGATTTAGTTGAATGTGTTAGCTAATTGTATTAATGTATGAGTAAAAAATACAAGGAAACGAGTTCAAATGGGTAAAATCAGAGTTAAGGGTGATTGATGAGTTTTCATTAAACCAATGAGACAAAAAAAATATTTGTTTGGAGGATTTTTCTAGGGGAGTGATGAAAATGGGAAGAGTGTTTGGGATCGGTTAAAAATTATATCAGTGAATTTGATGAAGCAAATTCAAAATATTTAACGTGTTTCAGAGCACGAGAGTTAGTGGCACTTGCAACTTCTACCACACAACCAGTTTGAATTAAACGCACACAACCATAATAATTTGGAAAGGAGAGTGGATATAGGGGAGATAATTAGAGACAATCAAGGCATTGTTTGCTTGACTTTTATACAATGCATCTGGAGGTTGCTAGAAGTAGAAGAAGTAGAAGCATTGGCCATAAAAAAAAGGTTTAGTCGCAACTATTGCACCAGGCTTCACAAACATGATAATTGAAACCGACTCTATGAGAATCTACTCTCCTCTCCAATCAAAGAAGGAGAATTACTCAATAACTGGGACGTCTGTGCAAGAAATTATTAAAACATCGAAAGTTTAAGGATCTTTTCTTAATTTACCCAGTGTCAAAGAGAGGGAAACCACGTATCTAGTCCATGCAACACCAAGACAAGACTCGTCATGGAAGAGGATCTACCGGAGTTTGGATAGAGGATGCCCCGTCTCCCATACAAGGTGCTTTGAAACCAAGATTTAGGTCCCTTGTCCTTAATTTCAATAGAGGGCTCGAAAGTGTAGTCTTGTTGTCTTTTTATTTATTTTTATGATTTATTTATTTTGATCTATAAAAATGGCGAGAAAACAAACTAAGTCCATAATATAAAGGTTAAATTAAAAATTTTAAAATTATATAAACTAAATTAAAATTAGGCTCAAACTACGTACCAAAATTGTAGTTTAAGGTGGATGCCAATGGATCAAAGAGAAAATGCTAAAAAAAAAAATAATAATAAATAAAAGCAAATGAAAAGCAAAATAAAAAAGTTGGAGTCTTTTTTGAAGGAGGGGAGAGAGATTATCAAATGATGGCATAAAAAGGAGCGCAGCAGTTGCTTTATTTGCAGTCTTTCTCTTTCTCAGTCTCCACTCTCCTTCCATCCTTCAGTTCCGCCTGCGGCTGCCGATATCTCTCCATTTCCACTGTGTTTCAGGCGTGGGCCCCACGCGCGCTGGTCCGTCCGTACACGCCTTCCTGTGGCTACAGCTGTGAGAAGAGAGGGCTCCACATTCCTTTTTTAGGCAAAGACAAAACCCACCACCCCGACAAAATCCTTTCATTTTCTTCCTTGAAAAACAGAAATATTACTAAATCAACTCAAAACTCCCCAAAATCTTGCTTTTCGGTATGTTGCGTTTGCTGCTATAGTCCTCACTTTTACATTAAATATCCTAAATATAATTTGTATAATTAGAGGTTGTAACTTTATTCTTAATGTCTTGTTTAATGCAAGTTTAGGAGTGATTTAGTATATTTAAATATAATTACTTTTTTTCAAAATTATCATCCAAATAATAAAATCAATTTTAGGATGATTTTAAGCTTTTTCAAAATCAATTTTCTAATTTACTAAATATATTCAATAAAAATAAAAATTATTGTAAAAAACTATCATTAAAATAATACATCGAAAAATCAATTTAGAAAAAGATACTTATTTATTTATTAGATAAAAACTAATGCATATTACAGTAAATGATACTGCATCAATTATTTTAGACTAGAACAGTGATACATGTGCTTAAACACAGCTTTCACTTCTGTGTTTCTTAATTTTGTTATTGAATTTTTAAAATATAAGTCTAAGATCTAAAAATGGTCTCTAAAAACTTTTTATTATTTGGAAAACACATAGATAAATTGCAACAAAGCAAATATAGTATTTAAAAAAAATATTATCAAACAATGTCTCTTAATTACCAAGAGAGACAAATTGGCTCGAAGAATATTTCGCTCTCACTAATATTCCATCTCTAGGCTTGGTGACCACGTAAGACTATGGTTAGGGATTTGATTTTTATTCAGTTTCTTTTCTGTTAGAGATAGCTTGAACAATCATGTCGTTGCTAAACACCATTTTGGTTTCCAGTCGGATGGAGGAGATTGTATATGGACATTATTTTAATTTGATAGCTTGATAAAATACCTTTTAAAAAATACATATTTATTAAATCAATATTTTTCATATGGTTCAATGACCACGCGAGGTGGTGAACGCATATTCGAACCTCTTATAGTTGAAAAGATATATCGTAACTAATTAAGTTATACTTAAATTGACAAAAAATTAGTCTATTTAATTTCAAAGTTGTTGACGCGTGGATTATGTTTTCCCAGTTCCTCCCGAGGTTCGCACCAAGCTTGATTATCAGGGACTCGAAGACCTGCAAAACCGAACAAGGCTAGATCGGTGTGACACTTGTCACACGGTCTCTGATGTCTAAATTAGCAAGGGCGACAGTAGAGTAATAGAATTAAATAGTCGAATTCGACTTACCTTAGGGTTAGGTTGCATAACCTATTTATAGTCATTTGGAAAGTTCTAGAGCCTTCTAGGTGAGTCATAGATAACCGTCGTAAGGTCCAAGGCATCGTGGGCAATAGAAGATGGAGGATGCCGAACTCGGCTCGACTCGATTTGGCCGACTATCTCGTCAATTCTCTTTTGTTCCCTTGGTTGGTTTGTGGTTTTCCTTTGTATAACAAAAGAAAACAATATTTTACTATTACAAAAAGACTCGTTGTCCTAATACTATTAAGTTATACCACTTACCAATCATTCTAATGTTTTTTAATATGAGTCGATAGGACGGGGTTATCAATTTTTTTCTTAGAATTATTTCAACAGAGTTGAAGTGTATAGATTATAAAGAATATCAACAATGAAGACTTAAAATTTCTCATATATATTTACAAAATACATTTTACGTATAATTATTTTTACTAAGAAG